TTAGGGCTGTTGTGCATAGGGTCGCTATGAGTCGGAAACGACTCGACGGCACATAACAACAACAACATGGACTGCTAGGAGAACAAACAAGTTTGCTCTGGAGAGGGTCAAGCCAGGCTGCTCCTTTGAGGCAAGGATCCTAGAGCTTCGTTTGACATACTTTGGACATGTTACAAGTCCTTGGAGAGTGACGTCATGCTTTGGAGGGTTGGAGGGACTGCGCAGGAGAGGAAGGCCCTTGATGAGATGGATTGATTCAGTGACTGGAGTAATGGGGATAGGTGTGTCAGAGACAGTAAGATTGGCAAGGAATACAGCAGGCTTTAGGGCTGTTGTACATAGGGCAGACAACTTGACGGCACATAACAACAACATATGGTAAATTCTAACTTTTTCCTCAGAGTCATCAATTTTCAGGGAAACAAATTTTTACCTGCTTGACAAAGAACATTACTATTTGCTGCTGTGGTGCATAGTCAAATCAGAATCGACTCATAATTGACCTTCCTGTAGTTTTTAAACTCTGTACATCACAAGACAGAAAATTACCCATTTCTTTGCAGCAAAGTAATTTTTGAATTTGAACCACCTGCCTTTGGTTGGCAGCACAATTTTTTACCCACTAGGCCATCAGAGCCCCTATGAGAAGGAACATAAGGTTGCAGATTCTTCACAGTTTCCCGTCCCGTCTTGTCACTTACTGTTTATATTTGCTTTAGGCCTTTCAGTTACCTGGCTGACTGAACTGTTCATCTCACAATGAAAGTGTTGCTGTATTTTACAATTTAGGAGTGTTGCTGACATCTTTATACTTTAGAATTTGGATATAAGTATAATGAAAGTTACAAATGTTGAATGTCACTATTTTAAGTCATTTACCTTCTTCAGATGAGAAATTCTGTTAGTCCTCGTGATATTCTCTCAAACCAACATTTAATTTACTGACCTTTTTTTGTAAGAAATGAAAGACTTTAACATTTCTTTTTAGATACGAATGAAGAGTATGCCAAAACTAATGACAGAATTTGATGTAGTATTCTTGGAATGGAAATAGCCACCTTATTTATTTGAAAATATTTTTGTTATTTCAATTTATAATTCTGTGTCAGATAGATGAGCAGCTGTGGGAAAGAACAGAAGCTGCAGTGTGGGCTCCCTGAGTGTAGTATCCCAGGCTCTTTATAATTGGCATTGCTTTGGAGAAAGGTTCTGCAATCCTCTTTTATAGCTGCCAGTGCAGAGTGGGCATGAGTACTTGTGATAAATTGGGGAGAAGTAACTGCAACAGTATCTAACACTTACTAGACTTTGAATACATGTTCTTGTTATGTACTGTTGAGTCACCTGTGACTCTTAGCCACCCTATGTACAACAGCTCTGCTTTATCCTGTGCAAATCTCAGTATTCTAACACACTTATCCCACCTTCCTCCATTACCCCAGTCACTGAATCAATCCATCTCATCGAGATTCTTCCTCTCCTGCACTGTTGCTCCATCCTCCCAAGCATGTTGTCCCTTTCCAGGGACCAGTCCCTCCTTGCAACATATCCAAAGTATGTCAAATTAAGCTCCAGAATCCTTGCCGCCAAGAGACAGCGTAGTTTCACCCTCTCCAGGGCAAACCTGTTTGTTCTCGTAGCAGTCCATGCTATATTCAATACTGTTCTTCAGATTAAAGGCATCAATTCTCCTTCTGTCATCCCTTGTCATTGTCCAGTTCTCTGATACAAGTAATTTCAAAGACCATGGCTTATATCACATGCACCTTAGTCTCCAGACTGTCATCTTTGCTCTTCAGTACTTTGGAGAGGTATCTTGACACCATACTTTCCGAGTACAATACGTCTTTTCATTTCCTCGCTGCTGATGCCAAGAGTATTGACTGTGGAGCCAAGCAGGCTAAAGGTGTTAACAATCTCTTCACCATCTATCATGATGCTGCCAGTCGTTCCTAGAGCAATTAATGTGTAAGTTGTGTTCCCATTCCTTCTTTTAGTGCTAATTAAATAAAATCATTGATACTAACACTTTCTGAATTTAAGATACTACTTTGAGGTTTGTATAGATTATCATGGAATTGGTACTCATACAGGTCATGAATTATAAAAATCAGTCTGGTCTTTTCTGTGTGGATATGAGTATTTTATAAATAACATTATTTCACCTTTATAAAGATCTTTACTTTAAATCTAGTAATACATCTCTTATTATAATATTTTAGTCTTTAAAAGTTAGCCAGAGTTTGTATTTTGCCTGATTATGTTCTTTGCTTTGAAAAAAACAAGTGTAGGGGGAACTCTGGTGGCCTAGTGGCAAGGAGCTGCAACTACAATCCCAGAGGTGCACAGTTCCAATCCACCAGATGCTCTGCTGGGGAAGGAGGGAAAATCTCCTCCTGTACCAGTCAGATCTGATTTGACGGTACATGCACACAAAAATAATAAAATAAAATATTTAAAAAAAGAAAAAAACAAGTGTAGAGGAAAATATGGGATAATATGGCAGTAATGTCATATTTTTAATCTGTGTTATATTTGAAATTTTTTGCTTACCTGTTTAAAAGCAATATAATTTATTAAACTTACAAATTTTTTTAGTTATATAATTCCAGAAGAAGGAGATATTTTGAAATTTAATTCCAAATTTGAATCTGGGAATCTACGCAAAGTTATTCAAATTCGAAAGTAAGTAATTGGAAATTTCCTTATTTTTTTCCTGTACAAATAATTTTCTGATTTTCATCAGATTTATTTATCTTCTTTTTTCAGAAATGAGTATGATCTTATTCTGAATTCAGATATCAATAGCAATCATTATCATCAGTGGTTTTACTTTGAAGTCAGTGGGATGAGGCCAAGTATTGCCTACAGGTTTAACATCATTAACTGTGAGAAGTCCAACAGTCAGTTTAATTATGGTAAGGCTGTTCTCTTTCCATGTTGACAGGATTTTAAGACATCTTGATAACAGAAGTTTTTAAAGAATATGCTACTAAAGTTTGAATAGTCTTTTTTGCTCACTAGTTTTGAAAACTTTTGTCTTTAATATTTGCATGTTTACAAAATTTGATATGCAAAATTAGGAAAGTTTTGATTTATTGGTGAAAAGAGTTAAGCTTTCAAAGGCAAACTATAATGAGCATGGTTGATTTAGCTACAATGAAAGCAATTAAAGATTAATTATGAATCTTAAATTCCTATGAATCATTTGTAATGTTAATCTTTGTAGTAAATCTTTACAGGAGATGATTGCTCATTATTTTTCAATTGATGTTAGTATATTTGAATTGCTTATCTGTCAATCAACTGCTTAAAATTTTAAGTATCAATTAATCGAGAACAGAAGTACACAAATCAGCCTTTTATTTTGAAATATAGTTATAATGTTTTTGAAATGTTTATAGATTCACAGGTAGTTAAAAATGACTATGAGGTCTAATGATCTCTTCACCAATACTCACAAATGATTATATCTTATATATGTATAACATTTTCAAAATGAGGATATTGACATTGGCAAAATGAGTGTGTCTAGTTCTGTGCCATTTTAACTCTTGTATATTTGTATGTTTCCTGTAAATTTTTAAAATTTAGTGTAAGAACTTCTATTTGTAATTTCCTGTGAATTTTTGCTTGATTATAAATGTTGAATTTTGTCATATTTTTCCCCCCCATCAGTTCATAGGTTTTTGTTGTTGTTGTGTACCATTGAGTTGGAACCCACCCATAGCTGACCCTCCAGTGGGTCTTCAGAAGCAGTGAATTGCTTGGGAGGAGATTGTCCAACCTGCTCTTGTGGAGCAGCTGGTGGCGTTGAAGCAGGGACCTTCTGGATTGCTGAGCAGCGTCTTGCCATTAGGCCACCAGAGCACTTATAGGCTCTTAAGATTTTTTTATTTTTTTTTTATTTAGCCCAATACAGTGTTATTATATTGACTGGTTCTTCAATATCTGAGCATCCTGGAATAAAGCTGGTCGTAGGGTGTAAGTCTTCTATAAAGCTGAATTCTGTTTTTCTAATTTCATAAAGAATTGGGAAGTATTCCTTCCTCAACACTACCTTTCTTATTTCTGGTAGAGTTTGTGCAGAATTAATGATTGTTTTTCTTTAGACATAGTATAATTCTCCAGTAAAACCATCAGGCCTGGAGATTTCTTTTTTGGGTAATTTTTAAGTTAGAAATGTAGTCTCTTTGCTCTTCCTCCTTCCATTTCCTTCAACTTGTAACCATTTCATATCTTAACCATCCATTGGGTTTCTGAGGCTGTAAACTGCTTGGAAAATTGCCTGTCTTTCACCTGTCTTTCTCCTGGGGAGCCTTTGCTGGTTTCAGACAGCTTTTGAGTTAGCAGTCAGCTCCCTACAGACTATAGGCTTATTAATATCTTTGGAGACATATTACTATCAGCTCCTAAAATCTGTGCATCGAGTTGATTCTATCTCATTGTCAACCCAGTTAATAGAGTGGAGCTCTTGTAGAATTTCCAAGGCTGCAATTTTTTACCAGAGTGAACTGCCACATTATTCTTATCTACAGAGGTTTATGAATTCGAGATACCAACCTTTTAACTAGTTAAGTGCTTTAACCATGACACCACCACAGCACCTTCAGTAGCTTATTGTCCAGTGATTCTAACTCATAGTGTGACCCTCCACCAGGCCTCTGAGTTAGTAAATCTTTTTTTTTTTATAATTATA